TAAATATTTATTTTGATGTTTTATTCTTATATTAAATGTAAACTCATCGCTGTTGAGTGGACTCCAGCTCATGGTGACCCCACAGGACAGAAGAGAGCTGCTGCACGGGGCCTGCTGGGCCGTAGGCTTTCTGGGAGCAGACTGCCAGCTCTTTTCTCCTGCACAGCTGCGGGTTCAAACTGCTGACCTTTCGATGAGCAGTGAAGTGCTTAACTGTTGGGTCTGCCATGTAGTTAATGTGTCTGTTTAGTAGTGTGTCTGTAATTCACTTGGCATCGTCTCTTAATCGATTATTTCCAAATCCACCACACTTTTGCTCATTACAATCCTCATTAAAGAAAGTAATGCAGGCTTTGTGGAGGCCGAGCGGCCTGCTGGGGTGAGTCTTGGGGGGATGGGGAAGCATCCGCCCATGAGGGCAGAGGCAGAGTAACCATCCTGGGAAATGCTGCCTTCACCGTCCATGGGGCGGCCAGCTGGGGAGGGCCCAAGGAAGACCACTACATCCTCGTTACAAAATCACATTTTGGAACAGAGAGCTTCCTTCTCGCGTAGTTGACAAGGGCAGCAGAGGTGTGCACAGACTTCAGAGGACGAGCACAAGAGCAAGGGGGATCTTCCCGGGGAGTGGAGGCTCAGGGAGCAACCACGTAGGCTCCCACAGCCCCCCAGTTCAGACTGCACAGGGAATGAGTGGGCTCAGCTCTGCCATTCACAAAGTGCCTCATGGGGAAGAGGGACTCTTTCCTTTGTCTATTTCTGGGCCCTCTTGGCTGTGATGGCTGGTGCAAGACAGGCTGCCGATGCCCCTCCTAAGTTACGTGATTCGTCAACCTCGCTTGGCATGGAAGAACCACAGCGCACATCAACAAGCACTTAGAGAAGGTAGAAAAGGTCCACTTCTTACCTGGCGCCCCAGAACCAGCAGTGTGATGAAGAAAATAAAGAGAGACACCGAGCCCATGGTCTTCAGGTCTTTCCAAATGCCTGGTCTATTGAGAAAACAGACAGACAGGAACACGACAAACAGCAAGCACACAGGCCTTAGAATCCATGTATCAGCAAAGCGGACTCTTGAAGGCACCTCCGCCCTCTACACCAGCCACACACACAGGAGTCCATCACAGTGCCAAGCCCGACTACATCAAAACCAAACCAAAGCATCTCTATGTTAAGAGGAGGGTGAATGGAAAAATTCTTCCCAGTTAACAGCAGCGTCTCACTGTAGACCCACCCACTGCCATGGAGTAGATTCCAGCGCCCCTGGAGGACAGAGTCGAACTGCCCCAGATGGTGTCCAAGGCTGTCATCTTTATAGACGTATGCTGCTTCATCTTTCTCCTGTGGAGTGAGTGGCTGGTGGGTTTGAACTGCTGACCTTTCGGATAGCATCCTTGTGCCTTAACCACAGTGTCACCAGAGGTCCTGTGCTCGAACAAATGGAAAAGGAGGGGGTGGCAGGACGTTACTCACCTGTGGGGTCTCCAAGGATAACGTGATATGTGACTTCTTAAATGTGTCAGGCACCATAGGCCTGAAATTCACAATCATAGGAGCTTTGAGCATGAATCGGGAACTTAATGTCCCTCAGTTATTCCTATCTATGAATTATACAGGCCCATGTTGGCACAGTGCCTAAGGCATCTGACTGCTAACCAGGTTGCTGGTTCAAACCCATCAGCCACTCTGTGGAAGGAAGACGGGGCAATCTACTTTCATAAAGATTTACTGCCTTGGAAACCCAGTGGGGCTCTCTATGAGTCGGAATTGACTTGATGGCAGTGGGTTTGGTTTTTTTGGTCTATGCAACTTTTTAGCAGGTACCCATTCTTTCTTTTTAATTGTGATTTGGATGAAATTGGAAAACCAATTTGCTTTCCTATTCAACAATTCATACACACTTTGTTTTGCGCCCTTGGTTGCAATCCCCACAATGTAATAGCTCTCTTCCCACTTCCTCCCTGTGGTTACCATTTCCCTGTATCCTTCTTTCCTGTCTCCTCCTGCCTTCTGAGCTTTATTCCTGGGCAAATTCTGCCCTTTTGCTCTTATATGGTTCACCCTTCTATGGAGTATGTACCTCCCTGGAGTTACTGTTTACCTTATAGGTCTACTGTTTGGCTGAAAGTTGAGCCACAGGAGTGAGTTCAATTCCAGGTCTGAAGGGTGTCTAAGGGCCATATCTTGGGGGTTTCACCAGTCTCTATAAGACCAGTTAGCCTGGTCTTCTGCATGACTTTGAGTTTTGTTTCACATTTCTCTCCCACTCTGTCTGGGACTTCCTATTGTGATTCCTTTCAGAGCAGTGAGCAGTGGTAGCTGGGCACCATCTAGTTCTTCTGGTCTCAGGGTCAAAGAGGCTGTGGTCCTTTAGTTCTTTGGATTAATTGTTTTCTTGTGTCTTTGATTTTCTTCATGCTTCTTTGCTCTGGACGGGGAGAGCACCTTAGATGGCTACTCACAAGCTTTAAGGCCCCAGTCACCACTCACTCAAGTAGGAAGTAGAACACTGTCTTTGAGGACTATGTAGTGCTAACTGACCTTATTGTCCCCTGAGACTATGGTCCTGAGACATCAGGCTGGGCACCCATTTTTATTCCCCCTTTCACATTATTTTATATCACAAAGCATAACAGAGATGGAAGTCCCCTGACCATCTCCCGTCCTGGTGTCCCTGCTGGTAGTTTATCCCTGCCCAGGTCCTTACTGCTCTGAAGTGGGCCCCTCCACCATCTCTACAGCACCCCATGCAAATATTCCCAACCCCTCCATTCCTGGAGACTCCTATATGAGCTAAAATGTGATAGTTTCCCACATTCCAAAACCCAAAAACCAAATTCACTGTTGTGTTGATTCTGGGAGCTCTGGTGGTTTAGTGCCTAAGGCATTTGATTGCTAAGCAGAAAACTGGTGGTTCAAGTCCACCAGCCACTCCTCAGAAGGAAGATTGGGCAATCTACTTCCATAGTGATACCACCTCGGAAACCCAAGGAGGGGTCGCTGTGAGTTAGAGCCAATTGGATGGCAGTAAGTTTTTTTTGTTTTGTTTTGTTATGTTTTGGTATTGATTCTGACTCATGTAGGACAGAAAACTGCCCCACAGGGTTTCCAAAGATGTAATCTTTATGGAAGCAGACTGCCACATCTTTCCCCAATGGAGCAGCTGGTGGGTTTGAACTACCGACCTTTTTGGTTACCAGCCAGCACTATGATGATTGTACCACCAAAATCCTAATGTATTGCAACTTCACTCCTGAGTTGTGGACCACTGTGCTCAGTGTGTCTCTCAGATCTTGCTTCTTTCTGAGAATAGTGGTGGGTGGAGTTCAGGACAGGAGGAGGGAAGAGGAAGGAAGAGGAGGGAAGGCTCTGGCTGTGGAGCTGGAGAGTGGATGTAAAGGCCTGACTGGGCCTTGGAAATAATGAGGTCTTCACGCCTGCAGAGGAACCTGCACATCCATACATGGACACCATCGTCTCTTTTGAAATTCTCCATCTACTTGGAAAGACTGTCTTTCTTTCCTGGGTGGCCATAAAAAAAGACTCCCATGGATGAGTGGCTTAAAAGCACAGGATTTGTTCTCTTCCATTTCTGGAGGCAGAGGTCCCAAGCAGGGTCTCACCATGTCTGTCTGTCCCGGGGCTTCTTTTCTAGCGTCTGTTGTCTACCAGCAGTCCTTCATGCTCAGTGGCTTGTAGACGATCCTCACACTGCATCTGTCTCTTCTTGTGTCTCTGTGTCAGTTCCATTCTTTTATATCTCAGAAGGTTGAAGATGGACCTTGCATCGGTAAGACTTCATGAACATAACAAAACTGACTCATGGTGGCCCCTGTGCATCAGAGTAGAACTGTGCTCCACAAGGTTTTCAGTGGCTGAGTTTTCAGAAGTAGGTCACCAGGTCTTTCTTCCAAGGCACATTCGGGTGGACACGAAGCTCCCACTTTTCAATTAGCAGCTGAGCACTTAAGAAAACCCCAGTTTCCAAACTGAGACATATTCATTGGTGCAGGGGCTTGAGAGACATAATCCAGTTGACAAGGGATCCATCTTGCTGTCTTTTCACATCTCATTATAATAATTATCTTCTTGAGTTGCTCTTTGAAATCTTATTATTTCCTCCATTTGCTTTGGCTACTCTCTGTTCAAAACCAAGTTTCAGAGTCTCTTCTGACATCCATTTTTGTCTTTTCTTCCTTTCCTGACTTTTAAATGACATTTTACTTTTTTCATGGATCATGTTCTTTTTTTTTT